ACTGCCTTTAAACTCAATGTTGAACTGTCTATAAACAATCTCCATTCTTCTGGGTTATAGTTTATTTTTAAAGCCGCCAGTAAGCCGTTAATGTTACTGCAGAAAACCAAGTTATTCTCCATATTGAAAAATGGTTCTAAGTCTTTGTGGCGTTTACGAAAAACACATACCGAAACATCGTCTTCTAACAAGTTCCACTGCTGCAGTCTTGATCCAAGTAATTCTGCCTTACATTTTGGAAGTTCTAAATCTCTTACACGATCATTTAATTCTGACTGTGTTATTTTGTGCGGTTGGTGGCATGACGTGCTCGGTATAAAATCAGGATCTCTTGACGTTGATGCCATATCTTCTTCCTGACGAATCACTCGATCGCCATGATCTGATTCGTTTTCTGATTCGCAAGTGTAGGATTCTGGGGGTTTTGGAATAGGATTTTCGTCACTGTGAGGCACAGGTCTCATCGCAGATGGTATGTTTGGGTAGTTAATAACCGATTTTTTTTTCTTGGACATACCTGTGGCTTGTCCAACACAAGGTACCATGCAAAAGTAACAATCATTAATATGATTTGTAGGCTCTCTCCAAACCATTGGGACAGCAAAGCGCATAGACCGTTTTTTGCCTTTTAACCAGCTCCTCAGACTTGAAGCACATGTATTACAGCAGATGTGGGGTGCCCACTGTTTGTCTTGATCACCTAGTTTACAATCGAAATAGAGCTGATATGCCTTTGTTATTAGTGGAGTAATAGACCGTCTCTGAGACGCAAAAGTCACATCACCACACACGTAACAAAACTGATCTGGATTATTTACACACTTTCGAGACATCTTGCATGAACGGTGTCAGCCAACTGAGGAAAAAATGGCTAATATAAAACAATATAATGTACACGTATGTATAACGTAACACAATCATGCCGATTACATCATCTTTCCTTGCCGAATATAAAAATGTAGCACGTGCATTCTTGTGAATTACAGTATATTAACACTGTCACAGCACGAACACAAATAATTACCGTATCTCTAAAACTTGAACTAATATTGAAAAAATAAGTTTCATTCCGGTTTTAGCACATTAAAAATAGTAATATTTTGTTGATTTTATTTAGGATATTTCTTGGCTGTTGATCAGTGTTATCGTTATTCAGTGCATAAACCTGACGCTAAGTATTCTTGTCTACGTATCAGAATTCAAACATATATTTCTGATAGTTACCTTTCATAAAGAATCTTTCGGTCCCAAAGTGTAATTTCGCAGGATTCACAGTCTCAAGACCTTTGTTACCGCCTTATCAAATTTCCGACGAACACGAAGACCTCAAGAACATATGTTAAAGTTCACAGAGCCAAACATAAACCTGAGAAGGGTCGTTGGAACCACCGATAGGAAATTTGTATTGGCAGCTAAACTAATGGACAAGTATTCCGGACAATATACAAGATTTATGGCAATGTATGGAGGATGGTGCAGTTCCGACGTTTATAAAGAATGTTCGAAAAAAGTTTGAGGCTTGGAAGTAAGTTCATCTTAACGATTATGAGTCACTAGCTCACGAAAATAAGGTGACAACCTTGGAATAAAAGATAAAGGTTTTATTTCAACCCCTTTATAACCGAAAATCCTGATATTATAATATTCTGTTTTATGTTTTAAGTTATTCAAGGTTAAATGACATAAAAATAGTTTTTTCCGAATATCTTGATTGATTTGCGCTCAATGATATTTTATGTACTGCAAAAGTTGTAGAGCATACAATTTGCTACATTCCAAGTATATGGTCACATTTAATTGAGTTGACCGTTTTTCGAGATAACACTTATTCATATATATGGCGTTTGTTAAACCGTGTATCGTATACTTTGTGAAGTTGATATTAAACAAAAGATTCTACAATTGTGAAGAAAACTGGATTAACCATCAAAATAGTGAATAACTTTTGTAGGCAGGTAGACCAATTCCGCGATAGTGCGACATGTCTCCGCCCATGGGTTAAAATACGATTTCAGCGGCAAATATTTGAGTCGGTGGCAATTGTCTCCTCATTATTTGACTCTATTGCTTGAACGTACCTAAATTGAAATTACTCAGGATTAAGGATGAAACATCTTGTAGGATTGCAGAGCGTCACACAATAGATCTCTTCTCTTGTGGCTGCTTAGTCTTGAATTTACTTTTGCTATTATATACAAGGATATTAATAATAACGAGTATTATATCAACTTGACTAGCAATAGGAGAAAGGAAACTGTTTGTAATGTATACTAAGTGACAATGATGCAACACACAAAATTATTTATTGAATTTTGATTAAAACTATTTATCAGTAGTCCTAAGACTTGTAGAGTTATGCTCAAAATTACAGCACTGCTAGTCGGTGTTGTATTCATAGTTGATTGCCTTAACTGTTAGGAGAAAACATCCTTGAATTTCTTTGGATAGGAGACAAAGTATTGCAAAAGTACACTCGTATAACTTAAACTCAAGCTTTCGAAGATTTATGTCTTCATCGTCTGGAGCTGAAAACAATTATTGACAATAGCAACAATTAACAATTAGGACGAAAAATAGTTACTTACTAATTCGGCGAGATTGTTGCTGAAATTGTTTTTAAACAGTGGAGGGAACACACCGTCGACGATAAAAAAGCTGGACTGATGAGGTTCGATCAGTTATAAGAGTGTACTTTTTACTTTTGCAATAGTTAGCCTTTAATAATATAATAATTATTAATTTAAAATTCCCATTAATTAAAATATAGTTTATTCAACTGCCTCTGGTCGGTTTAACAATTTCTTACGTAACATTCTGAAAATCACATCATCTGAAGTGATTTGGCAACGTTTTGGCACACGCCCACAATTCGTTCCATGTTTCAACACAGACATTGACCACCTTCGGCCTTCTGTCAAAGGTTCATCTCACTCATTATTCCATGACCACCATTTTGTGCAATCATCAAGTGGCTTCACGACGTAATGCTCTAATGTTTCCTAAATAATTTTTAATCTGTCTTTAACTTGTCTTGTCATATTTTATATAATTTTAACCATTGTACCATGTATCCAGCTCTCACCATGTTACTGGGTGTTTCCCTCATCCAGAACGTAAACAACAATTAGCAACATCCTCACATACCAGTGTAAGTTAAGTCAATTTAAATTCATTTTACACTATTGTTGCTACTGTTATCAATGTAATTGCAGCTCCTGATGATGATGGCAAAGTCCATTGAAAGCTAGAGAGAATTAAAAAAGTATAAAGAGTCCTCTTTGCTTAAATTTTGTCGAAGTACCCAACAAAAGGAGGAAGCTTTAATTTTTCACCTATATATATATATATATATATATATTAAGAGCATCCTGCAAGCAAACAAAACTCTGAGAAATATTATTTGCTAAAATGATCTCCTGAGGTTCAATTCTTGAAAACAAGGGACTAGAATAACCAACAGATTTTTTTATCATCTTTCTCAGACTTTTTGACGTCTGTTTTGATCCTTATCAAGGTTTGTAAGAGCACTTATTTTTGGGAAAATAAGTTGTTACTATGTTCTTGATATCTGTGAACGTTTCATCACAAAGTAAACTTTGTCTTTCGATATGAAACTGATGAACAACGGTGAAAGTCCCGCAGCTTTTCCCCTAAAAATGATTCGGCAATTTTCTATCAAAGTTAAGGAATAGATCTTCCAGAAAGGTAACATAATCACTTTCATGTCTATCAGTTGATCTACTTCCACTTTTTCAAGAAATAACCTCTAGAGTCAGCTTTTTACCTATTTTTGATGAGTTCTGAATATTCTTCAAGAGACTGACAACACTTTATACCTCCAAAATGGCAATTTTTTTCAAGATCTACCTTACGTTGTTTAAACTTGTGAGTTATCCGTAGCAGAAGCATCTGCCAGATGTATCCTCACCGCCATTACACAACCAATGGATCACTGTCATTTTGGTTAAGCAGCCAGCGAAAGTGTTTGAAAAATCAGACATTATTCAGCGCCCCATCTCGCAACGTTAACAGATTCCTCGTTGTTATTAATGATTGTGTTCGGGGAACGGTTAAAAATACATTCAGGGCGAAATCATCAGTCAGAGTTTCAATTAGGCCCTGCATATTTAGGGAAGTGCTGGTGGGATGAGTTTCTGAACGTTCGTTTACCGCTTTAATGAATGACTCGGTATTTCAAAAATAAAAGTTCTACAAAGAAAAATGTTTCTCTTAATTTTGAGGCTTGAAAGAGAAAAACGAGCTGTCATATGGAAGACAGATAAATACAATGATAACAGTAGCAATAGTGATATCAGTAATCTCATTTGCAAATACAAATGCTATACAAAAGCTGTATACCACTTGTGAATATCGACTTGCTTGAATGGGTTATTAATTTTGAGCAATTTTTTGTAGTCTGTAGACAAACAATTGATCTAAGCAAGGATATAATACTTTATGATTCCATATAAAATTTTGGAGATAACTGAAGATTTACATAATAGGGTTTTTTTGCTTTAAAACTGAGGAAATGTCTGTGGGTATATAATAGTTTCAGCCTAAAATAACGTGTTCTGATGACTTTGTCAACATGCTTGTGAAAACGAATTTCTTCGTCTATGAGTAGTTTTTTAAAATTTTAAATCTGCAGATTCAGACTTGCTTCAAGATGTCTCCGTTTTTATTTCTTGCACAATAGTACAACATTTGATTTTCGAGGATTGAGTTTCATGTTATTAATAGCAGAATAGTTATTAATACCTTCGAGATCAATATTAATTTTAGCCTCAATTATTTTGAAACCATCAGGTGGAAAGCTTAACAATAATAGAGTATCATCGGCATAACAATCGAGTTTATAATTTTGACTATCAAATCAAATGTATATATTAAGCACAAGAGGGGCCCCAAGACTGAGCCTTGTGGTACCCCTGAGGAAACATTCGGTAAATTTGAAACACTCGTTCCACCTGTAGCTAATAGTATTTCTTTTTTTCCAGTTTCAACGCCTTCCTGAACCACCAACGAGAAAGCAAGGTGATCACCCTAAAAGATGGCGCTGGGAGCAGTCAACTGTGGAGCTACTTCACTCATTGCGCGGCTCTGTGCGTTCTTCTGTCAATCGGCGTTTGCAACGCCCCCTTGATTCACGACTACACGGTAGTATATAAGGGCAGTTTGGATGACGTCACGCTCGTGTGCATCATCGGAGGCATCTTGCATTTGTTTTTCTGGATCGTCATCTGGCTGTTCCTGACCGTCAAACAGAAGTGGGTCTTCAAAGTTAGGATCACGGTGAGTGTACACATTTTATTTATGAAGATATTATAACTAAGGAAATGTGAATATTTGCTTACACTATTATGTCAGAAGGGATCTGGATGAAACTTGATATAGGTGATATACTGGGATACCACATAGGCTACTTTTTAACGTGGGAAATAGATTTGAAGTATATATTGTCAGCCAAAATCACTTCTTTTACTATTTTGATCACTTATTAGTAATTTGAATTTCTTTTATTAATGACAGTGTGCCCATTCCTAGGTCAAACCCTTCTCAATGATTTTCTTTTGGTAAATTTCATAGTTTATTGATTGAATAATTTCATACACATTTTAGCTTTCTTTCTCAGTAATTCAGTATTGTGTTGGAAATAAAACTCTGTGGTTTTTCTCCATTACTTGGTTTTTTATCGAACGTATCTTCTTCAAGGCCACTCATTGAACATTCCTTCTATAAAGTTAGGTGTTTTTGGTGTCAGTTACAGTAGTTTCGGTTTGGGTGCTACCCCGTCCATTTTCGTATAGGATTTCATCATTTTCATCGAGCATTTACTTCATTTTTTATTATAAATGCAAAAATGTGTATGTTCGTATGTTCCGTTTTCATTCCAAAACGGCTGAACCAAATATGATGAATTTCCGCATGGATATAAAATATTTGTGGTTCATATACAAATAATAATTTAATGATAATTTATTTGCCAAAAATACCGATTGCTATAATTTGTTTCCAGTACTGGAGCAACAATGACAATATAGATGCAGGCACTCTTGGGGATACTCACATTGAACACGTATCGAGAAATTTGAGATATCTTTTCTAAAAAATTAGAAATCTTAAGCATTACTTAACGCTACAGCAACTTTGAATAATATATCACGCACTAATCGAAAGTCTCATCAATTATGATGTACTAGCTTGAGGATCTGCTAACAATACTCATACAGATCAGCTGGAGAGTATCCAAAAATTAATACTCAAGGGAATACATAACCAATGATTTAACCTAACGATATGATATATCTAGAAGCTAAAATACGAGGCTTGTTCAATTGAAACCTACCTTTAAAACCCCAACCTGTCCAAAGATGGGTTTCAATTAAACAAGACTCGTATTTGAAATTCGACAAGCATGCCTCTTCCAGATTATCACAGAACAGCACAAAAACAAAGACAACTTACAAGTACCACTACCAAAAAAACATATTACAAAGATCATACGCACTTTCTGCTCCAAGATCTTATAATTCACTTCTAGCAGAGATAAAGAAGAACAATAACCTAAATAAAGCATCTCATAACTATCAATTTAGTATTTAAGTTGCCGCTGTTCATCAGTCTGTCTGGTTATTGCGTCAAGTAGTCTAAGCATGAAATCGAATGCTTCATTTAATTAATCCCAGAAAATTGAATTTGCACTCTTGAATGATTCACTCCAAGTTGTGAATTTTCATCCGACCAGGCAGTCGACCCAGTGCGCTATGCAGATATATTTTGCCTCTATTAGGTCAGGAAACATAGTGCGAAAAATCGTAGTCAACATCCTGTACAGTGAAACGAGTTCCTTTAATCTTTGCATACCCTAATGTTAACATTTAGTATTCCTTTAAACTCCATCATCAAATTCGTTTGGGTTTTTTCAGTGTTCAATTTAAGAGCATTGCTCTTTGCATAATTATATATAGATTCCTGCTAGATCCTTGTGAGGTAGCGTTTTCATAATTATTTCGATAATATCGTAGATACATGTGTCATCGGCGTAGGTCATTATTTTACAATTTTAAACAACTTAGTTTCAATTTGAGGTATATAGTGTGTACAGTAGGGGCCCAAGAACTGAACCTTGTGGTACTTCAGATTTTATAAGCGCCAGAGATGAAGCTTTGTCGCCTGATGAAACTTCTTGACTTCTATCAATTAAATACTATCAAAAAAATGCATGGTCCGTTCTAAATAACTATTTCAAACAGATAAAAAAATCTGCTTATATAAAGTTGAACGATAATATTGCCTTTTCAGTTCTACGATGGGTTCTGTCACAACTTGGTTAAACGTCATCCCAAGAAAAGTATAAGTGAAATTCTCAAAGGTTACAAAAATACCATCAGATTGATATGGTTTGTTCTTAAATCACTGTCTGTGATTATTCTTAAGAGTCAACGAGTCCCACATAAAATATCCGATTTTAATTTTGTTACAAGAAAATCTGACTTTGTTGAAGGTTTTAGTGGTAATTCCAACAGCAAATGCATCTCCTGATTTGACAACCAGTCTTTTACGATATAAATCTCGTTTGATAGCTTGCCCATATGTTGTCAGTTCATCAGGGACTTGTTAAATTCATAATCTATTCTTACCTACCCTTCTGTGATAGCCACCATGTTGCTGTTCGATCGTCATTTTTGGCATCACCACGTTTCATTTTCTTTAAAGTACGTCTACAATGACCGGGCTATCCACCTGAGCTTATTATTTATGCTCCACGAATTATTTTAACGAGTTCACAGTATATTAGCGCTGTTTGAGCTTGAACTAGCTTTCTCATTAAGCCCAAGTAACGTGCCCCATGCAGTAGCTATGCTTACGTTCTTTGGACAGATTTAGCTCCCACAGTAATGTATTTCTCTTTCATTGCCGCAACTCTCTCTGGGAGCTACGTAAATTAGACGGAATTCTAGAGTTAGCTAGTGCAGAAATTGCGACATAATGAAATATGAAATTAGATACTGTTGCTGTTGTTCTAGAGAATTTACTAGTCCTCAACTGAGATGCAAAAACCTGAAGGTTGCAGGCGCAGAACGCGGCGTCATCGAGGGAGAGCGCTCAGGAGCAAAGTGCATTGGCATATCGGTAGAAGTGAGCTGGAATATCGGCCTCCCATCAGCGTATGAATGGTTTTAGTTTGTTGAAGAAATGTAATTCATCTCTGAAAGACTTGGTGCCAAGAGCCTTTGTATTTGCGCCAAAAAAAAAACTAGATGAAGTTTTCCTTGATAATAAAAACGCTTCGTTTGTCACAGAATAATATTCATGCATATGTTTATCATAAGGTTCTAACAGCGTAACTCCATCAGAGTTTCATAATCATATTAAGCTTGCAACGACCGTCGTTTTACAACGGCAAGAAGTTTCGTGGAGTTTTGTAAAAACACAGTCACAGAGATGAGAATATATCGCGAGTCAGCGGGGCAAGAAAGTAAGCTATTAGGTATGTTCAAAGAAAGTCTATGTGTGTTCGATATATATGTATAAAAGGAATTGGCATTTCCAAGAAAAATGTGTCTTTTCTTAGAATCGATTACATTAGAAAATTTGTTTTACGACATCAAAGATCAGTGATGGAGTTAACACAAATCTACAGACAGTTATGATGATAATGATAAGACAGTTATGAAAATTTAGGTTTATATTGTCACCAAGCTCAAAAGATGATACAAACAATAAAGTATTAAACGCCGCGCAATAAAAGTACAATCAAATGAAACATGTACTTACTTTGTGGCCCAGAAAAGTCCTGTCCCACGAAAAGAGATTCGCCCTTATCCCAGGGTAGAAATCATCCCACATACCGCCCCATCCAGTTTTTATCCAGCGGCAGAGTGAGCATTGTTTGTCGACAAGGTGCACATTTCTCAGTCTCAGCGGATGCGGTTTAGGGTATCTATGGACCTACATGGCGCCTATGGGGCTTGTGAAAGGCACTACAGGGTGATGACTCGTGGCAATATTATAACCCATGGGAGTAATTTAAAATGGTGGCACCAAAAGTAGATACCAACTTGCTCGTTTTAAATAGAACATCCTGTATATTATCTATTTTTTTTATTCTATGTGAGATCAAAATATATTTGATGTACACTCCCTTTTAAAAGTATTTGAACAAGGAAACTGATGGAAGTTATTGAAGAAGACATTACAATATCTGGATGAAACATTTATTTTCTTAATCCTTCAAAACATACAACTATTTATAATCAAAATAATCATATTTTTGACTCATCAATGTCACTCAACTGATTTTTCTCAATTCGGTTTGTAAAATTCTCCATAAGTGTTCTTGAGATGTAGGACAACATTTCCGTACTGGTCTGTCCAGTTGATCTCCCAGCAACTCTATCGGATTCAAATCCAGGGATTGGGGAGGCCATAGCATGGATAAAAATTGAAAAAAAATGTTCTAAAAGACAAACCTCCCTGTACTCTCACAATATCCCTCAGAGCGAACACCAAACCAGCCCAAAATCATAATCTTTTTTGGTTCGTTATGATTTTAAATATAAATATGCAGGTGTTTAAATACTTTTGAACGTTAGTGTATATTATCCTATACTCAAGCTTAACCGTCTTTGAGATATTAAAATTTCCGGGTTTTTTTCAAGTAGGGGAGTAGCTCTAGTAGATTTCATGCCGCATTTGGGTAACAAATAGGTGCTTGAAAAAAGAAAATGAAAATTTTTTTATAGATTTATCGTGATACCATTGAATATAAGGTTAACTTTGTATAAGGTTGTCTGCGTCACTCATCAATATCATTCCAGATATAGATTTTTGTATAAAGTGCTCCATACGACTTAGCATATATGATAATCTTAGTTGACATGGCGGAAATTGGGCGAGCTATTAAGGATACCGCTCTGTCGCCGCGTCACGGCCGGCTGCGATTATCTATAATGTGTAATGCTCGTAATAACTTACTATACAGGGTGACTTCGAAGTTGAGTCATTTATTTTAACAGTGAGTAGATCTGATCAAAAGAAATGTTTTTTTCCTTTACCATTTTTCTGGTAAAATTAATGTAACCAAGTTATAGCCCTTTGGAAGTTTGAGTACCGCCCTGTCTCAATAATAATATTATGTGCTCGTGTTTGGCAACAACGGATATAATCCGCCTTATCGGTTTATCGCATCGGAAACAAAAAAGCGAAAGAATTTGGAACGATGTTTTTACAATTATTTTATTCAGTTGTATTCAGTCAGTGTCAGTCGGTAACGCGTGAGTGAATAGCGG